AAAAAAAAAAAAAAAAACCTATTCTACTTATTAAGGCCCCTATATTTAGGGGCTCAGGGGTTCGGGCTGACGGGTTGCAGGCTTCAACCTTTGAGGAGTTACGGTGCGGGGCAGCTTGTGGGGTTTAGGGAAAGGATGACTGGCACGACCGGGGGCTCCCTTTTGTAAGCAGCCTCTTGGGCAAGAAACTTAGCAGCAGGGGTTCAACCCTAGGCTTGAACACTACCTACCGTGGCCTACGATAACCTGAAGCCTCCTGCGAAATTTTGGAAAGCATGGACGAAGAACCTCTCCAGAGTCCTCGTGCTGGAGACAGGGTGCCAGAACGATAGTGAAGTCCACCACGCAGCAATATGCAGGAATGCTTTTGATAGCCATGTGCAGGGATTGCACATCCAGCTGCGGAATGCTGAAGTAGTCATACCAATAGTCCCATTCCAGGCAAGCCCTCTGCTCCTCTGCAGAAGGCATCGCTAGCTCAATACCGGGTCGAAGACCTACATGCCCTGCAGTGAAAGCATCCACAACCACGGATGCCTTGCCTCGTGTTGGAGTCTCTGGAAGCTGAGGGTGTTTGCGGAGATTGAGGGCTTTCGGCGTTCGGGGGACTGGGGGTTAAAACCCTAAACCCTAAACTTCCTAAACCCTACACCCTTGGGGGCTCAGTTTTTCATCGAACCTTGCCTGATGCCATATTTCGGAGTGCCTCCTGGAGCACAGAAAGCTGCTTGCCCTGAGGATCCGGGTGGTTCACGCTCACCTGTAGCCAAGATTCCGTTTTGGAACTTTCGCCATGGCAGCTCCCCTCTAAGCCCTACATCCTAAACCTCTGTTTCATACATATTATTTATATATGTATACATCTGTAAGTATGTGTGTGTGTGTATCAAACATTTATTTGTCTATCTACTTGCCACCGATCTGTTTATCTAGCTGTGTCTTTGCTTGGTTTTTTAGCTGCTTGTTTGTTCGTTTGTTTGTTCGTTCGTGTTTTCGTGTGTTCGTGCGTTCGTTTGTTTGTGTGTGTGTGTTGCCTATATGTTTGCTTGCTTGCTTGGTTGATTGCTTATGTGCTCATTTGTTTACATGTACTTATACATCCGACTTTTTCGTCGTTGTCGACAAAATTTGCCAACAACGATGAAAGGTTTGAAAAAAACGACGAATTCGGCGGAGCTTCGTCTTTGTTTGGTATCCTTCGTTGTTTTGGAGAAATCATGTGTCGTGGTTGGCAAAACCTGTCGCTAATCCTTCGGCGTGGTTTGCAAATCCTTCGTCGTTTCTGGCAAATCCTTCGTCGTTTCTGGCCAGGCATTCTCTTCGTTTCTGGCAAAGCCCTCGTCGTTTTGGACAAATCCTGGGCTTTGCAGCGGCCAGGATTCACACCCAAGCGTTCAGGAAATAGGCCCTATAGCGCTGAGAATCTGGTCTCCAGGGTTCAGGACTACGGGTCCTGAATGTCAGGAGTTAGGCTTCTGGGTTCAGGCTATAGGCCCCAGCGTTCAGGATTTAATTTAGGCTTGGGCTTCAGCAAACAGGACTAAAGCATGCTCATTGCGAGGAAGTCGACGTTTGGAGTGAAGGTCACAGTAAGGCAGCAGCTGGTTCTTGATTGTACTTGGACAGACTGATCCATTGCCATAAGAGCTAGAGATATCCACCATGATTCCGGCTGAGCTGATATGCGCAAGTTGCGCTGCTTCTGTTTATTATGTTTTCGAATATTGATACTCTCTTGAAATTGAAATGGCGTTAGAGGTTCCGTTACCATACACTATAACTATATGGCGAACATATAAAGAACTCTGTATTTCTTAATGTCATCGGCTTCTTTGGGCGGGCAAGTGTTGTTCGAAACATACCGCTGGCCTAGCACTCTTTCATTGGAGCAAATCGTAAACCCGAAACCGTAAAGCATAAACTCTCAACCCCTCAATCCCTAAACCCCTAACTCCTAAACCCAAGGCCCCTAATCCTACCTAAACCCAAACCCCCTAAACACTTCTGAGCAGAGATCAGGAGCCCACTGGTGGGAGATCAACGCGACTCTCCTCGGGTGTCCCGGCTGCCACTGGCAGAGTTTGCCTTCTGGACTCACGGGATTCGAGATGAGGGTTTAAGGGTTTAGGGCTTAAGGGTTTAGGGTTTAGGGATTCGGGTTCAGGGGTTTAGGGTTTAAGGGTTTAGGGCTTGTTTTCGGTTTAGGTTGAGGGCTTATGGTGCAGGGCTCAGGGTTCCACAGATGCGCACCTCAACCCTAAACACTAAACCCTAAACCCTAAACCCAATATCACACACCCAAAATGGCCATTTAAATGCCCGATGGGAATTTCAGTGTCAGTGTCTGAAATGTCGAACTTCTGGGAGCCCCCACATTCTGCTAGGGTCTTGGAGGCTTGGGCACCCGAGCTAGGGTTTAGGGTTTTAGGGATTAGGGCTTGGGGATCAGGGGTGTAGGGATTAGGGTTTTAGGGATTAGGGTTTAGGGTAGGGGTCGGCGGTCCTCTAACCCCCAAAGTTCCACGAGAAGAGCCCCCAACCAGGACCCCAGTTTCTAGATCAGGCTCCGGTACCAAACCGGAGCCCGAAAGCCAAGAACGGCTCTTAATCAGGTTCCTGCGTTAGGAACGTTTAAGATTCAGGGCTGCGGCATTCGGCTTAGGAGGGAGGGTTTAGGGTTTAGGGTGTAGGGTTTAGGGTTACCCTAAACCCTAAACCCGGAGCTTAGGGCTTTGGGCTTTGGGTTACGGCATTTCGACTGAGTACGAGAGTTTCTGAAAACAAGAGACCTCAGCACAGACCCTGAAGAGTAGAAGGATCTCTATAAAAGGTACAAAAAATTAGGGTTTAGGGTTTATGGTTTAGGGCTTTAGGTTATAAAAGGTACCCAAACATTGAGAAACCCCGAAACCTTTTGCTGTAATCCTGGGCGCCCAAAACCCAGCCAACTGGCAACTTGCTGCGCCTTGTCGCACGAGATCCTCATGAGTAGTGATCCCGGGTAAGCTCGCCCTAAGTTGATTTCGAGATGCACACATGCAACACAACAATATTCAACGAGTTTTCTCTGCCAGCCGAAAGTGGAAGAACGGCTTCAAGACACAGTGCACCCGCCCCGATCAAGTAGCTTCAAAATACTGAAACTAATTAACAGCATGAATAATCACTCCAAAATGCCCTGGGCACCAAATCCTATACCCCAAGGCCCCAAGGTCTTGTCATCGCTGCCACCCGGGCTGCAGAATGTCGCCTCGTATCAGCCACATGGGCCATTCCATCGAGAAGCGACCTTCCTGCAACGTCGACTGAGCTCTTCTAGGGCGAGGGTGCGCTTAAGCCGTACTTGCAGATGCCTCGGGCCAACTTGGCGCGGGCCGGTATATTATCGATGGGTTTTTGTATGGTTAGCATAAGGAACCTGAAGGAGCAGCATTGGTAACTTTTCAGGCTTGTACATTATGCAGAATTGCGGGATGCACGGCGACTTCAAAAGGGGCCAAGGCCAGACCCCTGTGCGCATCTCCCTGGAGTTTCGGATTTTGGGATGCTACCCATAGGCCCCTGAGTAGTTCCTTTTTGTGGTGTATATTTATAATCCAATAAGGTAACCCCAAAAAGGAACTACTTAGGGGCCTATCGGTATAGCATGGGCAGCCACTGCCGACCAATGACTTTCCTCACCGCAACGACAAGCTGCGGTGTTGCGAGGACAGGCCGTCGCCATGCATTCCAAAATTCTCGTGAATGCCTAAACCCTGATACAATATCACTTAATATAGTTTTCTCTTATTGTATTACATTTTACAGTATAGGAACTTATAAGGAAGCAAAGTAAACTGCTACATGGAAAAATATGGTATGTTGCAGTGCATTGTCTTGTCTTGTCTTATGTCATGTTGGTTTATACCATGTTTTAAAATCTTACGTTGGTATTATGGACTTTATGACATTGTAATTCATTATGTTGTGTTACGCTGAACTATACTATGTTGTACTATACTATACTGTAATATACTGACTTATATTACACTATGGTCATGTATAATACTACAATATGTGATGCTATATGATATTAACGATAATATACGACCTTATATGATAGGTCATTAGATGATACCAAATGTTCGTAACAATGCGAGTTGAAGACAGAACAAGTCGTAAGGTATTATATGGCAGCTTGTTAAATAACATTGTGCTCTTGTCTTGCGTCATTACTACTATTATGTTACGATATCTTATGAACTACAATACTATGTTGTCTCATATTCTAGAGTGTAACTTATGTGTCGATTACAAGACGCTAAACTGTAGCCTATCATATTACCATTCATTTTGCTATGCTACATTATGTTATATGGTATGAGGTCCTTGGAGTAGGATACTTCTCCCATATTATATCATAAGAGAATGTGACTACGCCTGGTGTGGCGTAGCATGGTAGCATGACAAAAGCTAATCTAGTCTAACCTGTTCTATTCCAACCCAACCTAACACTATGTAGCGTAAATACAACGAAATATCATCGCAAAAAAATCCTAATGCATCACCTATTGCTGTTTAATGTACTATGAGATACAAACGGATTGAAACGCAATATACCAGAATTCACGAAAAACGATTATATCAAGTTGTGATATGATATGTTATAGTATGACGTAACGCATCATAAAAAGACTTCATACTGGCCATGTGCAGCATCACGACCCCTCTGGTTTCCGGGAAAACCTTTCTGCGATTTGCGTTGAACATCACGGTTTCAAGAGTCTGCAATCAAGTCTCATCCGCACGCCACTAAACAACGGGTTGGAAAAGAAGCCGTGTAAAAGCCGTAAATGCCTTAAACCCAACTCCCAAAAGCACAAGATGCAGCCACATGCGACATGTCGCTAAACCCGAACCGTTGTCCTCCAGACTTGGTGAGAGCCCCTGTGTCGGAGAGAGCCCAGTGCTCTGGCCGCACTGGCCATCGCACCACATCGACATGTTTCAGACTTTAGGGTTTAGGGTTTAGGATTTAGGGCTTTTTTTTTTAGGGTTTAGGGTTTAGGGCTTTTTTTTTAGGGTTTAGGGTTTACGGCTGTTCTTTAGGGTTTAGGGGTTTAGGGTACCTTTCCAAAAAATTCGAAATGTTGGCTTGCGGCATGCATAGATGGTGCGAAGTGCCAACAGGAAATGATGAGTGGGAGACATAACAGCAAAAGTAGTGGCAGTAGTAGTAGTAGTAGCAGCAGCAGTAGTAGTAGTAGTAGTAGTAGTAGTATGATGATGAGTAGTAGGAGGAGGAGTAGGGTGTAGTAGCACTAGTAGAAATAGAATCACGCAGGTCGTGGTCACTAGTAGTAGAGGTCAGTACTAGTTGGTAGCAGTTGGTGGCAGTCTCTTGGCTGACGTCAGGCGTGTGCATTGCATCAGTGAGCTGTGCTTAGGTCCAGATTCCTGGTGTGGCCTGACCTTGTCACGAGCGCACTGACATGATCGATTGGGAAGCTCAAGCTTCAAGCTTCCTATAGGAACCTGATTCAGTAACTCTGCATCTTTGCAAAGGCCTCTTTATATGAATCTTATAGTTGTTTGGTGTTATAGGGCCAGGTGTTCTTAACCATGCTCCTACATTAGCCTTAACATCCGTTCAACTGCAGAGCGCTAGCAACAGCCCTAAACCCTAAACCCTTAAACTCCTTACCCCCTAGACTTTTAAGCCCCGACACACCGAAGGAACTCCTGCTTCGTGTCGTTTACCTTTGCGGCTGCAGTAACGCT